TTTTATTTAACTGAGGCTCAGAGAGGGAACATCACTTTGCTCAAGTCACACAGCAGACTGGTGGCAGAACCAGGTCTCCTGATGCCTTTGGGGAGAGGGATCAACTTTTGATTACTTTTTCATGTTCTCTCATGGTATTTTTGACTGTGCCAATATATTCTCCTAGAAAATTGTCCAATTGTCAACATTTTGAAAAATGTTGATGTAAGATCAGACATAATATTTATTTACAATTTCTAATCTCTATGGGGATTTTTTTCTTGTTCTTAATGTCTTCTTATGTCTTTTGTTTGTTTCTCATTAAAAATTGTCTAGGTTTTGTCTGTTTGATTTTTTTTAGACCTGTGTTTGATTTTGTTGATTCACTTTTGAAAGTAATCTATTTCATTAATTTCTTTTTAAAAAAATTTTATTTATTTTTGGCTGCATTGGGTCTTCGTTGCTGCACGCGGGCTTTCTCTAGTTGTGGCGAGCGGGGGCTACTCTTGGTTGCAGTGCGTGGGCTTCTCATTGTGGTGGCTTCTCTTGTTGCGGAGCACGGGCTCTAGGTGCGTGGGCTTCAGTAGTTGCAGCACGTGGGCTCAGTAGTTGTGGCTTGAGGGCTGTAGAGCACAGGCTCAGTAGTTGTGGTGCACGGGCTTAGTTACTCCACGGCATGTGGGATCTTCCCCGACCAGGGTGCGAACCCGTGTCCCCTGTGCTTGGGGGTGGATTCTTAACCACTGCACCACCAGGGAAGCCCTATTTCATTAATTTCTGCTTCCATCTTTGTTAATTCCTTTCTTCTCCTTTCTAATTTCATTGTCTTCTAATTATTGTGTTTTCTGTTGCTACTTTCTTGCTTTTCTAGCATACTGTTGGGTTAATCAAATCTTCTTTGTTTTACTTCTTTCTTTCATGGTTTGTCAGTTTTATGTCCTCTTCCTACACTTTCTAGTATTTATCTTAAAATTAAAATTTTTTTTTAAATTTTAAAATTTAATTGTATATTTATCTACTGCACCTAAAGTTGCAGTTTCTATATCTTTTCCTTAAACAAGACAAAAATCTCAGCAAATATTAGTTCCTTCTGTCCCCTCTTTGCCATTGTCCATATTCAGATCACCTTGGATTTTAGATCTAGGCTGTTTTTAAATCTTATTATTGTTTCTTTGTTTGTAACTGCTCCTCACGTTTAATATATTCCTCCTATGCTCTCCTATGTCCGTTAGTTTGTTGGAATACATCCTCTAGTAATTCTTTCAGAAAAGGTGACTGATAAACTTTCTGAGTTCTTGTGCATCTGAAAATGTCTTTATTTTGCCTTCACCTTTGAAGAAGAGTTTGTTCAGGTATAGAATTCTAAATATTTCTAAATATTTCCCCTCAAAACTTTGAAGCAGTTGTGTCACTATATTCCCAATTCTGATATTGCTCATAAGAAATCTAATTTCAGTTTATTGTAGGTGATTTGTTTTTTCTTTTCTTTCTTCAGTGTTTAGTATTTTCTCTTCATTCTGAGTGTTCTGAAATTTCACCGCATTATGTCTGTCTTTGTTCATCTTGCTTAGCACTCAGTGGGCCCTTTTGAATTAAGAATTCATGTCTTTTACAAATATCATAGGATATCACTTATGTGTGGAATCTAAAGACATGATACAAATGAACTTATTTACAAAACAGAAATAGACTGACAGACATAGAAAACAAACTTATGGTTGCCAAAGGGGAAAGGTGGGGGGAGGGATAAATTAGGAATCTGAGATTAATAGATACACACTACAATATATAAAATAGATAAACAACAAGGACCTACTGTATGGCACAGGGAACTATACTCAGTATCTTGTAATAACCTATAATGGAAAAGAATCTGAAAAAGCATATGTATGTATAACTGAATCACTTTGCTATATACCTGAAACATTGTAAATCAACTATATCTCAATTAAAAAATAAACATTATTCACACACACACAAAAGAATTCATGTCTTTCTTCAGCTCTGGAAAATATTCTTTATTATCGCTTTAAGTCTATACTTCCCTGTGCTCTCTCTGATCTCCCCTTCCAGGGCTACTAATAGATGTATGCTGGAATTTGGTCTGTCCTCCAGGTACCTCACCTTTTCTCACACATTTTCCATCTCTATGTCCCTTTGCAGTATATCCTTGGAAAGTTCACGGCTCAGATTTCCAGCTCATCAGCTCATTCCTTAGCTTTGTCTGTTCTGTGTTTTCAGCCCATCTGTCGAGCCTTTTTATTTTCACAGCCATACATTTCATTTCTAACATATCTAATTTTTTGATTTCATAATATTTCTTATGAGTGAAAAATTCTCTCTCTTTAAGGACTTTAATTGTGCTTGAAAAAACTGTCTCCATTATTTGCTTCATTAATTGTTTTTTCTTGAAGTGTGATTTATTATCTGTTGAGTCAGTGCCTTTCTTTCAGGGTGTTGGCCTTTTTTCTTAAAAAATTTGCAATTGTTGGCATTTGGGGTTTTCCATTAGTTTGTCTCTGTTTCTCTGTTCACTGCTGCTTTGCCTCTTGGAGGGTTGGTAGTATAGGATAAAGAATGTGCAAGAATTCAGTTGTCTGACCTTGAGAGGGTCCCTGTTTCTTCTGGAGGTCATCAGCCTTTGAGGCACCCATTCTGACCACACCTGCCACAAAACAAGTGAGTTCAATGCCTGATTCTTGACACCAGCAGGGATAGGGATCCTGGTCCTACCTGTCTGGCTCCTTCTACCATGGTCCTTTGACAGTCACCTCTGCTGCTCCTATGTTGCACCCACCTTGAGCCCCAATCTTCCCTGTGTGTTTTGGACTGTACTTCCTCCTTCAATTTATTCCCATATGCTTTTCAGTCTCTCAAGGATTCCTCAAAATATCTGGCCCACTGCTTTTTGTTTTCCAATGCTGTTAGGGACTTATTTTTTACTTTATTTGTATTTTCTGCTTATTGAGCTCCGATTGACAAATTTAAGAAGTGTTTATTCAAGTTGTACAACTTGATTTTTTTGGTTTAAAACATGATGATTTAATTGCGTATACATCGTGAAATGATTACCATGGATTATTAACACATCTGTCATCTCACATAGCTACCTTTTTTATGTGTGTGGTAAGAACACTTAAGATCTATTCTCTTAGCAAATTTCAAGTATACAATATGGTATTTTGAATTATAATCACTATGTGCAGATCTAATCTGTACATTCGATCCCCAGAACTTATTCATATTATAACTGGAAGTTTGTATCCTTTGACCAACGTCTCCCCATCTCTCCCATTCCCCCTCCCCTGGCAACCACTATTCTACTCTCTGGTTCTATGAGTTTGACATTTTCAGACTCCACTTATAAGTGAGATCATACAGATTTGTCTTTCTCTGTCTGACTTACTCACTGAGCATAATGTCCTCTAGGTTCATCCATGTTGTCACAACTGGTAGGATTACCTTCTTTTTTGTGGTCGAATAATTGTATTCCATTGTACATATACATTACATTTTCTTTATCCATTTATCTGTAGATGGGCACTTAGGTTGTTTCCATCTTGGCTGTTGTGAATAGTGCTGCATTGAACGTGGAGGTGCAGATATCTCTTTGGGATACTGATTTTGTTTCCTTTGGATAGATACCCAGAATTGAGATTCCTGGATCATATGGTAGTTCTATTGTTAATTTTTTGAGGAACCTACCATAATGACTGCACCAATTTACATTCCTACCAACACTGTACCAGGGTTCCCTTTTCTCCACACCTTCAACCACTCTTGTTGTCTCATGTCTTTTTGATAATAGCCATCCTAACAAGTGTGAGGTGATATCTTATTTTGATTTGCATTTCCCTGATGATTAGTGATGTTGAGCACCTTTTCATATACCTGTTGGCCATTTATATGTATTCTTTGGAAAAATGTCTATTCAGATTTTTTGGCCATTTTTATTGGATTATTATTACTATTTTTTTGCTATTGAGTTTTATGAGTTCCTTATATATTTTGGATATCAATCCTTATCAGATAAATAGTTTGCAAAAATCCTAAAGCTCCCACAAAGGCATTTTTGTTCAAGAATGGCTGCCAAATTACTGTTACTGAAGGGTATTGAGTAAGGGACCTCCTCTCCCACCATCTTGCCGATGTCACAGTGGGGACTTATTTTTAGATTTTCAATATCTAGGATCTGGAGATGGGAGGGGGAGGTGTCTGCCATCTTGATCCAATCACCATATTGTTTGCACATGTCCCCTCTTCCCCGCTGCAGGCCCCAGCTCAGGCCTCCTCAGCTCTTACACACTGCACCAGAGGGGCTTTTCTAAAATCAGACCCATCTGAGTCATTCCCCACCGCGCCCACCCCCCAGTCCTTCAGTGGCTCTCCACCAATGTCATAAGACCCACCTCTGGCAGGTTCCCCGCCTCTTCCTTTCTCCTGGCTACTCCCTTTCCTCCAGCCTCAGGCCACGCCTAGTTGCACGCTGGTCCCTGGGCAGCTGCAGTCCGTCTCGCCAACGTGCCCTTGCTCACCCTGCTCTCTCCTCTGTGAACTGTCCCCCCTCATTGCCCCCACACTTTGGGTCTGCTGACTCTGACCTTTCAGTTCTCAGCTGATTGGCCTTTCTTAGGACCTGGGTTGGGGGCCCTGCTGGGTTCCCATGGTTCCCTGTGCTCATCCTGTGGTTGTTCCTATGAGCCAGTGTTCCCGTGTGTTCTCTTCATCTCGCCGACCGTCTTCCCCTCCAGAGTGGGATTTCCTGACAGGGGGACAGCCTTTATCACTGATTTCGCACGGAGTGTTTGAAGACTGAAATGATGCTGGGGCTTCATGGCTAGGGGGTGTGGGTACTCTCCCTTCCCCTTAGACCGGTACGCAGGGTCTCAGTGGGCCCCTTACCCAGGAGCACCGTCCCTCCGGCTTGTGGAGGGGCCCCTCCTCGGCCCGCACGGCCTTTTGATCCACAGTCGGCACCTCAGGAACAGGCAGGACTGACCTGACTGTTGCTCTCCCCACAGGCACTGGTGCCATCACACGGTGACACGGACGGTGTCCTGCCAGGTGCAGAACGGCTCAGAGACAGTGGTCCAGCGCGTGTACCAGAGCTGCCGGTGGCCCGGGCCCTGCGCCAACCTCGTGAGGTAAAGGCCGCGGGGCTGACCAGCTCTGCCTTGCCTGTCTGTTCCCTTGGATGAATCCAACCCTCGCACAGCTGCTGGGATAGGGGGGTTGACTCTCGGAAACAGAGTCGGACACGCATTTATGGAGCACCTTTTGTGTACGGGGCATGGGGGGTGTGCGTGCGCAAAGATGAAAGGGACATGCTCCCCACACGGAAGAGTCCTCACAATCCAGTGGGTATTTGATGAGCAGAAGGGCCAGGTGAGGCCCCCTCACACACCTCCCCACAAGCCCCGCCTCTCAAGGCCCGCCCCCTCATAGGCCCGCCCCCACAGCCACGCCCCCCTCAAGCCCGGCCCTTTTCACAGTCTTGCTCCTCTCCCCAGTGCCTTCTGCTCCCAGCCCTCAGCAGCTCCTCGGCATTCACAGGGAGAGCTCTGAATGAATGACCAGACTTTCTGGGTCTCTGAGACCCCACCTTGCAGTGCCTCGTTGTCCTCTCCCCCTCCAGGCCCTGCTCCAGCTCCAGGGACTGGCTTCCCTTACACCCTCATCCCCACACCTCTCCAGCCCTGCGTTTCTGCCTCAAAGACCCTTCCTCATCTCTGCCTGGGACCACCCTCCTCAAACTCCAAATCCCTTTCCCTTCTATGTTAAGAGAGCACTTTGTGCCCTCCACTGAAAGGACTTACTGCATGAGGTCTGTATTAGGTAAGGTTCTCCAGAGAAATAGAACCAATAGAATAAGTGTGTGTGTGTGTGTGTGTGTGTGTGTGTGTGTTGGATAGATATATAGGAGATGGAGAGATTTTTAAGGAATTGGCTCATGTGGTGGTAGAGGTTGGCGCATCCAAAAGCTGCAGGATGGGCTAATGGGCCAGAGACCCAGAGAAGAACTGATGTTTCAGAAGGAATCAGAAGGCAATCAGATGACAGAATTTACTCTTCCTCAGAGGAAGTCAGTCTTTTTCTGAAAGCCTTCACCTGATTGGATGAGGCCCACCACATTATGGAGGGTCATCTGCTTTACTCAAAGTTTACCACCTTGATGTTAATCTCATCTAAAGAAATACTTTCATGGCAACATCCATCGGCATTTGACCAAATATCTGGGTACTGTCACTCAACCAAGTTGACACATAAAATTAACCATCAGAGGGTCATCATGAGTTGGATATGTTTTCATCACCAGAGATGGAGAATGAGCCCATGCATGAGTCAGGGCCTGTGCCCACACAGTGCTGTCCCCTGTAGGGCTCACCATGGAGCTGACACCAGAATCAGCCTGCAGCATGAATTAGTGGGACCCACAAATGTGGCAGAGAATCTGATCCTGGGCCAGAATTATTATTGTTTGTTTTTATTATGAAGATAGTGATACATACTCACTGCAGAAAAAGTTCAAACATTCGGTAATAACTGAATAAGGTAAAAAATGAGCATTCTTTCCTCTCCCGATGCCACCTCCATAATCCCATTATTAATATGTCATTCCAGACTTTTTTCTCCACTTATACGTATATATGTAAATATATTTTCTTTTTTTTTTAATTTATGTTTTATTGAAGTACAGTTGAATTACAATGTTGTGTTAATTTCTGCTGTACAGCAAAGTGACTCAGTTATACATATATATACATTCTTTTCATGTTCTTTTCCATATGGTTTATCACAGGATATTGAATATAGTTCCCTGTGCTATACAGTAGGACCTTGTTGTTTATCCATTCTATATATACCAGTTTGTATCTGCTAATCCCAAGCTCCCAATCCCCTGCCCACCACCCTTAGCAACCACCAGTCTCTTCTCTATGTCCCTGATTATAAATGTATTTTCTTAAACAAATACTAAATGATGTTATTTTGTTCTACAACTTGTTTTTCCCCCAGAAAAATATTTTGAAATATATTCCCATAGAGCCACCTCATTTTTAACAGCTGTGTAGTATTCCACTGTAGAAAAGCATCATCATTTATTTCCCATGTCCTCAATTGATGGATATTTAAGTGGTTTCCTAGTTTAGCCATTCCAGACCATGCTTCAATTGCATCATTATATATATTTTAATACTTTTACAAGTGTTTTTAAAAAAATATTTATTTATTTGGTTGCACTGGTTCTTAGTTGCGGCAGACAGGCTCCTTAGTTGCAGCTTGTGGGCTCCTCAGTTGCGGCATGCATGTGGGATCTAGTTCCCTGACCAGGGATTGAACCTGGACCCCCTGCATTGGGAGCGTGGAGTCTTAACCACTGGACCACCAAGGAAGTCCCTACAAGTTTTTTTTTTTTTCAAACTTTTTTTTGGGAACAATTTTAGATTTACGTAAGTGTTGCAAAAAATAGTAAACAGAGTTTCTGCATAACTTTTCCTTTCACCCAGCTTCCCTGTCTTAGTCCGTTTGGGCTGCTATATCAAACCACTGTAGACTGGGTGGCTTAAACAACAAACATTTATTTCTCACAGTTCTGGAGGCTGAGAAGTCCAAGATCAAGGTGCTGGCAGATTCATTGTCTGGAGAGAGCTCTTTTCTTGGTTCACAGACAGCCCTCTTCTCAATGTATCTTCACATGGCAGAGGAGATGAGGGAGTTCCCTGGGGTCTCTTTTATAAGGGCACTAATCCCATTCATGAGGGCTCCACCCTCATGACCTAATCACCTCCCAAAGTCCCCACCTCCAAATATCATTACACTGGGGATTAGGTTTTAACATATGAATTTAGTGGGGTGACACAAATATTGAGTCTATAGCATACCCCTAAGATTAATATCTTCTGGGGCTTCCCTGGCAGTCCAGTGGTTGGGACTTCGCCTTCCAATGCAGGGGGTGGGGTTCGATCCCCGGTTGGGGAGCTAAGATCCCACATGCCTTGCAGCCAAAAAAACCAGAACATAAAACAGAAGCAATATTGTAACAAATTCAATAAAGACTTTAAAAATGGTCCACATAAAAAAGAATCTTAAAAAAAGATTAATATCTTCTATAACCATAGTACAATTATCCAAGCCAAGAAATTAACAACAATGCAATACTATAAACTAAGACCTTATTCAAATTTTACCAACTGTCCCACTAATATCATTTTTCTGTTATTTTTTTTCCCATTTTTCATTTAAGTTGTCATATCTCCTTAGTCTCCTCTAATCTGGGGCCATTTCTTAGTCTTACTTTGTCTTTCACGACCTTAACACTTGTGAAAGTACTGGCCAGTTATTTGATGGAGGTTATGCATTTTTGGCAAGGAGATTGTAAAAGCCATGTTGTACCTTTCTCAGGGCATCATATTAAGAGGTACATCAATCAATACTGGTGATGTTAACTTTGATCACTTAATTAAGGTGGTGTCTGCCAGGTTTCTCCACTGTTGTGTAATTATTTCTCCCTTTTTCATTTATAAGTATCTTGTGGGGAGATATCTGAGTCTAGACAAACGTCCTGTTCCTCATCCTATTTTCACCCAGTAATTTTAGCATCCATTGGTGATTCTTGCTTGCCATAATTATTATTATGGTGTTGGCCAAATAGTGATTTTCTATTTTCATCATTTTTTAGTAGTAGAGGTTCTTAACTTGGGGTCCGCATGGTACACAAGTGTTTTTATATACTCATTCTGCAGGAGGAATGGCTAAGTAAATGGATACGTCCATTAAAAATTGAAGGCAAAGGACTGCTTTTATTTTATTTTATTTTAAATTTATTTATTTATTTATATTTTATTTTTGGCTGTGTTGGGTCTTTGTTGCTACATGCGGGCTTTCTCTAGTTGTGGCGAGTGGTGGCTACTCTTCCGTGCAGTGTGCGGGCCTCTCATTGCAGTGGCTTCTCTTGTTGCGGAGCACGGGCTCTAGGCGCGTGGGCTCAGTAGTTGTGGCGCACAGAGTTACTTGCTCCACAGCATGTGGGATCTTCCCAGACCAGGGATCGAACCCGTGTCCCCTGCATTGGCAGGCGGATTGTTAATCACTGTGCCATCAGGGAAGTCCCTAAAGGACTGCTTTTAAATGCTGTGCTAGAGGGATGGCCAATGGATCCATAATGAAGAAAAGATGCTGACCCCCTTTCCTTTTCAGCAGAGGGCACAGAGACACCCCCCGCCCCCTTCCCCTCCCTCCCTCATCTCCCAGGAGCCGAATTCCAAGAACCTCCTGCCTTTCTCATCATCAGGGAGCGTCAGATGACCGGGTCACCACCTCCTGATCCTGGGAGCATCTTCTGAGAAGAAGGGTCTTTGGAGTCTGGTCTATAAGTGGACCTGACAGTGTGGATCCTGCTCAGTGTTGGAGGGGCTGCCCTGCCCTTCAAACAGCGAAGCTGCTGATTGGTCCCAGAATTCAGGCCACTGAGAAGCAAGGCTATGCCTGTCTCACAGTTCCGACCCCACCAGTCTCGCTTTTTGCAAGTGGGGAGCCAAGCTTGGAAGTGGCTCTTTACAAGACATGGGATTTGACTTCAGCAAACTCATATTGTCTTTGGAGTTGAGGCACACGAAGAGTTTATGCCTCAACTTTAGCCACAGTCCCATGTGTTGGGTGCACCCCACGGTCAGCTCCCAAGGTGGAAGCAAAAAAGAGCACGTACGCATGTGCGCGCACACACACGTGCAATTGTATTGTATTTGGGTTTAGAGAATGAACTGTCAGGATTCCCTTTACTGAAAAACCTTGGAAGGAAGGGAACAGTTGGCTGGCTTTCTTAATGTCAAAATTACAGCTTGAGGTTTTTATATTTTCTAAATACAATAAGGCACCTTTAAGAAAAGCCAAACGAGCTAAGTACTGAATTACTGACCTCAACTGAAAAAATGTTAAATGATCATTAATTTTCACAACTGCCCTTTGCTTTATGACTTAAGAAATTACAGGAATAATGTTTCAGAAGCATCAGGGTCTTGTCTTTGGGGTGGGTGTTTACAGGCCTTTCAGGGAGGCCTCTCCCTCTCCTTGGCATCAGGAGCTGAGAACAGAATGTTCAATCAGAGCAGACGTGCATTTGTCACGAGCCTTCCCTCTGCCTTCAAAA